CACACACACACACACACACACACACACACACACACACACACACACACCAGCGTTTTCCATGGAAAGAATTGGTCTGTACTGCAGTCACAACAGATGAATCACCGGAAGTTAACGCTAACTGACAGCTCTGTGGCAGGCTTCCCCTGACAGTCAGGCATCTCTGCTTTTTGCTACTTTAGTAGCAAAGCATCATCTGGCCTCCCAAGGCGACCAGAGGCTATCGCTCAACTTATTGCTGTGCTTTGCCTCAAGAAGCAAAGCGAATAGAGATACCTGCTGCTTACACAGGAAAGCTGGGGAGAAGAGGGAGGAAAAACAAAGACAAAGCTGGTACAGTAAACAAGGGGAAGGAAAGAAGCCTACAGTTCCTGAGGGCTTTAGTTCAAATTTCTAGAGATGATTTCCAGGGAAATTCCCTCCTCGCCTCTCCCTGGGATGAGACAGGTCCACCATGCAGCCCTGTTTTACTCTCAACCCTTTTCATCCACTCATAAAAGGAAGCAAAGATTGTCCATCGCATGACTGAAGGACTGAGCCCATACTGCTGGAGAGAAAAGGCTTGCAACTCTTCACCGCCACTCGTGGTAAGAAGTCAAGCATCCACCGCTGACTAGAAACTCCTAAGGGGACAATGTCACCACTGGAAACATCTGTGGAAGAACCTCTGCACAGCAGAGCCTGCTGCACAGGCACCACAATGCAGGGACCAATGTCAGGACCCTTCCAAAGCCCGAGGACCCTGAGGTGTGCAGGTAATACCTCAACACCTCTCAACCTCCTCCCTAGCAGAATCCAGTACACACACACACACACACACACACACACAGAGAGAGAGAGAGAGAGAGAGAGAAAAACCCCTGGAGAACAAGTCTCTCATTTCCCCTCTGCCCTTACATCTGCCAACCCCACCTCAGATGCTAGTTGGAGGTTGGTTCATGCCAGGTGTGACACAGACAGCACCGAAATGCACAATACTCCTGCTACATTAGAAGGCTCTGAGAGGCACTGGACGCAGGCAGTACTGAGCCCTGGCTCTGGAAGTCAGGATAGGAGGAGGATGAGAGCTGGCTGGTGGGTGGGGCACACAGACCTTTCCCAGCAGAGGTCACAGGACAGAAGGTATCAAGTAGCCAAAAGCTGTGGGCGGCACAGGAAGCACAAGCTTAGGTGGGTGGCAGAGCACGGAGGGGCTGGGCATGCCACACCACACCACACCATGCATGCCAGGCCACGCAGAGGCTGGACTTTGGAGGCAGTGGACTTTGGGCTAGACTCTCAAGTCTACGCTACTTCTTGGTTCTGAAATTCAGCTCTAAGTCTCTGGGCTGCGTCTCAAAGCCCCAGGAACCTGTTTTCCCCATGGGGTATTCCATGCACTTCCCATGCTTAGACTGCCCTAAAGAGACTAGATGTCCAGGAAGCGTCTGGGTTTGCTAGTTTATTTAAAATCTCTCTGATAACGGGATAAAAGGACCACCTCCCACAGCACCCATGCGGCGTTTCTAAAAGCACAATCCTTCGGGAGTCTCATGGTTCCGTAGTGACGGCTTCCCATCCGTAATGTCACTATGTGCTTAGAAGCCTGAGGATATATGGTCCATTTCCACCCTGGGTGTGTTTTGCAGATCCTTCAGGGACTGGCAGCCCTGCGGGTCCTTGAGATGCAGACACCAGGCCATCGCTGCTGCTCTGATGACTCAGACTCCACAGGGATGAGCCTGAACCACAGCCAGCTCCCCTGCTGATTGATGACCCCAGCCCAGACAACTGGGAAGATAGCATAAGATCTGCAAACAGCCATGTGCATGGCACCACATCCGGAAGATAATATTTATACTCTTCGTTGGCCAAAATAATGATCTGTGCGGCAGTCACTGCAACCTTTTTGACAATTACCGAAAGCAGAGACTACAAACAGCCCTGAAGCCTGGGACAAATTTCCCCTGGTGTGGCTCCTTGGGTCCTGCAAATGCTCCAGTGCTCAGCAGACAACTCTTAAGATTTTTCTCAAATGGTCTTGCCCAGTCAGTGCCTGGCCAAGGTCAGGAACTTGAGTCCTTAAGGACAGGGCTTCCCTGTGGTCCTCAGGAGACAGGTCTGAGTTTGGATCTAAGCAGGAGGCTCCCTCAGTTTATATAAAGGTCATTATGAACAGTCCACTGAGGGTGGAGATGCCAGAGGAACCGTAAAATCAGTTAGCTTTCTACAACCTAGTACTGGAGCCTGTAGCGTCTTTTTTAATAATCTTACAGACTTCAACCTAATTTCAGGCACACGAAACACTGACACGTACCAAAACAGCTCTGTCTAACTTGCACAAAGGCATTCTGAAAAGCAAGTTACTATCATCTCTATCTCTCTCTCTCTCTCTCTCTCTCTCTCTCTCATGTCTCCTAAAGCTACAGAACAACCGCTCCTATGGGCAGGGTGGCAGTGCCTTCATGGCAAAGCTTCTCCCCTCGGGCACTTTCTGGCACTTACTGCCACAGCCTCCTCCCCAGCTCTGCACCCTGACGCAGGTATTTCTATGCGCTCTCTTGGGAAGGCCTCACATGTGATGGTATCTGTACTCGTGCAATGATGGCATTAGGTTGGAGTGCGGTATTTGATGCACACTCTGTGCTTTAGTCACTGGCCCCTAACTTAATAAATACCTGAGAGAGGTGCTCTGAGGAAGGGGAGGGTTGTTTTCAGCATGGCGCCTCGGGCTGTGCATTCAGAGGACAGCATCCCCTGCAGCGTTCATCCTCCATGACCAGGAGACCTTCCTCTACTGCTCTGCCACTTCAGCACCGACCTGGAGCCTTGGACACAGGAACCTCAGATACATGCCAGATCCAAGTACAGCAACTCTAGGGTTAAGGGTGGACAGCTTATCACATGAAACGCCAGAATTCTAAATAAAAATCGAGTAGACCGAAAATCCAACTTGTAATTTACTCTTAACTTTAACAGGAAATTCAGTCTCTTAGATAAAAAATAAACTTCACAGTTACTTGAGAGAATCTGCCAAGATCCAAACGGATGACCTTGAAGAGAAGCCAGCCGCAGAGGCCTGAACCAGCTAAGTCATGTTGTAAGAAGCCTCACTTTTCCTGCTTCCCCTCACTGTCACGCTTGTCATCATGGCAGTGTGCCAATCATGTGTTGCCACATTCCAGCCAGGTTCCCATCACCACCTCAAAGCCCTCAGCACAGCTGGAGGGGGCAGGTTAGGACATCACCTGTGAGCCAAGTCAGGCTGGTCCAAGTTCAAAGTCACAGACTCTGCCTTTGGGTAGCTGGATCTTCCATTCTATGGAGGTTATGTTAACCCCTCCTTCTTATTCCCAGACTGCACAAGACACACACACACACACACACACACACACACTGCACATACAGAGGCAAAAACACTCCATGCAAGTATCCAAATACATACATCCCCTCCCCACAGAGAGCCAGACAAGCCCAGGCAGTTCACAAGCTCATTCTCTCTCTCTCTCTCTCTCTCTCTCTCTCTCTCTCTCTGTCTCATACACACACACACACACACACACACAAACGTTAATGTCTTTGGTAACTCTTACAGAGGACCTGATACAATGGAAATGATACTGCATCTTGCTTTGTGGGTGTAAGGTAATCTCTCTCCTGATAACTGATGCTTTATCTGACGTCAGATTTCATGTGTTGGGATCTGCTGTGGCCAGGGCATCGAAACCTTGTCCTTCCAGGTACAGCTTCACTGGGCAGCAGAGGCCGGCTCCCAGTCCACACTGGGCAGCAGAAGCCAGCTCCTGCATCCACAGTCTTTGATAATGCTGCTCAATCACAGCTCTGTCTAACCTGTGTAATCATTCTCAGGAAACTGTGATTTGGAATTTACATAAATACTTAAAGGCTTCTTTTTTGGTTACAGAATTTTGCAAGATATAAACCCCACACCCCACCCTTGCCCTCACCTGGCCTCCCAGCTTTCCCCTGAGTGCCCTGGCACCTCCCCAGAGAGCAGCCTTTTCTCATTCTCCTGGGACATTTCAGTCAGCACCCGAGTGGCCAGGCCAGATGAGAGGCCTGCACAGCCATCGTCGTTCCTGCTGTGACCACAGAAAGGACATTAGACGGGACTGGGCCACCCACACTGTACACTCTGAAAATCTGCACTTTGTATGAGTAAGAGGCATTAATGAAGAGGAAAACCAGAGTCACAGAGGACATTTGTCCAGGATGGGTAACTCAACTGTGCAGCAACAGTCCCACCCCCGGCCTGGCCTCTGCCCGGTGGGGATGCTGGGAAGCCACACTGGCCGAACAGGAAGCTTGGACGCAGGCGGGCTCGAATTCCGTGTGCTCCGGCTCAGTGGCTTTGGGCACATTGTTTTCCTAATGTGGGAGTCAGCAGCCACATCTGTGAATGGCAGTAACACATTCCAACAGTGACGTCACAGCAAGGACAGGGCCAGCTCCCCGGGTGTGCGAGCTGTGTGTGGCCCCGCTGACATCGTAATAATACAGTCCTACAACTTACGATTTTCTAAGTGAAGCGCAGAGGGGCAGTGGAGTACACACCACCGGGGAGATGGGTGCTTCGTGTATCTCATCCCTCACGTCCCTTTACCATGGCCGACGTGCAATGCGCTAGAGCACAGAACTCCAAGGCATCTCGGCACATGAGAATTCTAAAGCATGGAAGCTGAGGACAGGGTGTGTCATACCCCCGGCTCAGCTCAGACTCCGGTCAAACCTGTCGCTTGACTGTAGAAAGAAGGTTAGCGGAACCCTGTGGTGTCCTCTCCACCCGGATTGCCTTCCCTCACACCGAAAAGTGGCGGCGCAACAGCTTCTGGCTCAGTGGTGAGGCCGGAGCTCCTGGAGCGACGGTGGACAATGGCTGGGGTGGCGAAGGGAAACACCAAGTCACTTTTTGTGTGTGTGCGTAAGGAGCAGGAAGTATTTTAGGAAAGGCTGGACGACAGCACTGGAGGGCACGCTGATTAATCGCCACTTGAATAAATGTGCAGAGGGAAAGAATGAGCCACATGAGAGCACATACAAACACCCCAGACAGAGTGGGATCGAATGCCCTGGGGTGAGGCTTACCTGGGAAGGGGTGGGAGCAGGGAGGTGGAGGGGTTACTCTAGGCCCCACTTTTCCTGTCAGGTCAGGAAGGTTCTGACAGCCCAGGACCTGCTCTGGCCTCAACAGGACCTCTCCAGCTGCAGCAGCAGCCAGAGGGAAGGGAAGTGTGTGAAGGGGCAGGGCATGAATAAACAGGAAAGCTCTCCAGGCTGAGAAGTTGGCACCAAATAATGAGAGGAAGGAATGAGACAGTAGAAAAAATGAAAACTAGGACCAAGAGATACTAACAATGAGAACAGAGCAAAAGAGATGCCAATAAGACATCAAATTCTGAGCACAGGAAAGTCTGAGATGAGCTCAGTGAACGCAGAAGAAAGGATCCAGAATACTGCAAGAAAACCAACAGAGTGTAAGGTGAAAGCTAAAACATACCTCACAGAAAAAAACAGAACAACCCCAGATCTGAACTTGCAAATTAAACAGCACACATGTAATATTATGGGAAAAAAAATTATATAGTAAACTAATTCAGGTCCCAGGCTAAACTTTGGATTTCAAAGGTGTTATTATTCTCTAGACATCAAGGCAGGGAAAAAAAGCCAAGAAAACAAAAAACCAAAAACTAAAAACCAAAGAGCTCGCCATCTACCCAGAAAGAGACCTCAGGCTCCCTGCAGTGTCGCTGTGCAAAGACGAAGGCCCTGGGCTGAGCAGCCCTGGCCCAAGGGAAGCGCTTACGTGAAGAACCTCACACTCTGCCAAAGCTGTGCAGACGTAAAGGCAACAGCAGACTCCCAGCATACGCACACACACTCACACTTACACACAAGCACACACACATGCATGCACACGCACACATTCACCACGCTCACACATACACTCACACACATGCACACACACATCCACACTCATAGTCAGTGCCTGCCTCTACAGTAAACATACAGTTAGGTGTGGTACGGAGAGGCCCCACAGGGCCTGGTGTGTGCTCAGGTTCCGAGCGGTGGGTATTATGGGAGTGCCAGGGGAAAAGGGTGGGGCGTTCTCACACACTCCTGATACAGCTATCCAGAAGAAAGGTTATCTAAGTCATCCATATTTTTATGCCAAAAAAAGAAAAGAAAAAAAAAAGAACATAAAATCACGTTGATCTACTGATCATTTTCAAGGAGTCTTCGGTCATATAGATCAGTGGAACAATACTCTTTAGAGACCAAATATATTCACCAAACAGAACCTGGTTTTTCTCAGGCAAATCAACTATTTTTAAGATCATTTTATTGTGCACACACAGTGGAATCTGCAAGCATGCCTAGTGGGCTTAGGTGCCTCCTCCTTAATGTATATAAATGAGCACACATGGACTGGCTGAGGTGAATGGGTCAGAACCAGCAATGGCTTGATAAACAGATATGCCCAAATGTCTCTCCAGAGCATGGTTATGTGTTAGGGGAGAGGCGAACCCATGGCACTTCCCAAGTTTTAGAGGGATGGGCCGGTCATGACCCTATTCTGTCACGCTTACACGTGTGTGTGTGTGTGTGTTCTCTTCTCAGTGCTCAAACAGCTTCCTGTTCCTGCCATTTAACCAAAGACTGCTGGCACCTACACCCTGTGCCACGCCGCTGTATGTAGACCTGCCGTATACGGCAGTTTCCTTCCCCTCATTCTTGCAGCCCCCCAAGAAGATGGAAAACATTTTCCCTCTGTGGTGGATTTATTTGGGTTTGGAGAAAACCAGACAGAAAGAGAAATGCTTTAGAATATAAATTTTTTTCTTGGATTAAGATCTGAAATACACATTTTGTCTTTCTTGAATAAAATATAAGAGCTCTGAGAATCTTTGCTGGATATAAATTTCTGCACAGAAAAAAAAAATCAACTAACCCACAAAGGCAGCGTTAAGTCACAAAATCTATGCTGGAAGGCCAATTGGACAAACCTCTGAAAGAAAAGAATGAGTGCTGACTCATTAATTATGCTAATAAACACTGCATCTTGCCGGTCTGCAGCACAAAGTGTCTCCGAGAGACAAACTGGGCCATGTCTGTGCTTACTTTCTCATGGTGCAAGCAGCAAAGGTCCTGACTCATCTTTACATCAATGGAGAGAGATTCGAATCTGAGACCCTGAGAACACGCTCTGCAGGTCTTCAGAGGAAAGACTTGCCTCAGAGGGGTGGGGGGAACAAACCTCTAGGGCAAGGTGACAAGTCCAGCTACAGAAGACACGGTTGGACTTGACATCTTTGGCCAACAATTTTACATGTAGAGATTGAATTGGATTACTCCTGATTTTTGTTTGTTTGTTTGTTCTTGCCTTTGATAGAGATTTAATTTACAAAACATATTAGAAACAGTTGTTCACATCCTTGCTAACTCCTGACTAAAGCTGTCCTGCTGACGTGTGGTCTGACAGGTGAGGCTCAGTTGAAAGGTTACTAAACACCTAACATCACATGGCATGTCTGTGGAGGATGATATGGTCTCAGTGGTGACCTCGACAGCCAGGCAGCTGCTTGCTTATCCAGTGCCCCTGAAGTCCTGACTGATGCCCATCCAGTGGTTACATGGACTGCCTGTCCCTTAAGGACAAGCCAGGCCTGTGAGAGGGATAAGATGCCCACGAGCGGCAGCACACTGGAATCACACGTTAGCACTTC